AATTTACCACGATAAGTTAGCTGAACCAATGTAGTCTTCATTTTCTTTGTAGAAAAAAAAACTTATGAAATGAACATCAATAATTATGTACAAAATAAATTTCTCTTCTTATTTAGTCTTCAAATGTCAAATCCAAATCTCTTATTAAATAATTCATCTACTGCTAATGAAATATCATCTATTGATCCAAATGCTATTCTAATAAAATTAAAACCTGATATCGATGGTCGATATGGTTTTAATATTAAAGTATAGAATATTTTGTTCACTTTTTATTTCAAAGAATAATAAATCATTTGATTATCTTAGGGTGGTAAAGATAAACAAATTACAACTATTGTTTCAAAAGTAGTATTAAATACACCAGCAAGTCGAGCATTACTTCATGAAGGTGATACCATATTAGCAATTAATAATGTTGACATTCGAAATCATTCACATGACGAAGTAAATTGAATCGAAAAACTTGAAAAAAAAAAAAAGAAACATTTTTTTCTTATGGAAAATTTTTATATTTAGATTATTAATATGATTCGATGTTCACGTGAAAGATCTTCTGATGAATTAGAACTTCATATAAAACCTTTCGAGGAAAAAAATTTATTGAAAGAATCATTACAAATATTACGTAATGATATTGCATCAAGTCGTTTGATCGAACAATATCGAGTAAGATTTAATTCATCTTTAGTAATAAATAATCATTTCTTGTTGATTTTTGAACCTAGACACTTCAACGTCAAAAAGATAATTTTACACTTGAAATAGGTCGGAGTGAATATAATTATTATCATAATCGTTATAAAGATGTACTACCTTATGATCAAACACGTGTAATACTCAAAACTAATTCAGAAAATGATTATATTAATGCAAATTATATTAATGTAAAAATAATTGTTTTTTCAAAATTTAAATTATATTCATTTTTTTCAGATGTCAATTAATTCAACAGATATTATTAATCGTTACATAGCTACACAAGGACCATTACCAATAACATGTGAACCTTTCTGGAGAATGATTTGGGAACAACAATGTACTTTAATTATAATGTTAACAACTTTATTTGAAAAGTAACAACTAATTAATTTTTATTTTAAGAAAATATTTTTTTTGTTTTATTTTTGATTTAGTGGTCGAATAAAATGTCATCAATATTGGCCAAATGTATTGGAAACAAAAGATTATGGTTTATTTACAATTCGATGTTGTCGTGAAAGAAAAGAAAATGAACTTATTTATCGTGAATTTTTAATTTTAAATAAAGAAATAAATGAAGAACGAATTATTTATCAAATACAATGTGAAACATGGCCAGATCATGATGTACCTAATAATTATTCTTCATTTGTGGATTTTGTATTAGAAATTCGAGAATTAAGAAAAGCAAATAAACATATTCCAATTCTTGTTCATTGCAGGTAGAATTCTAATTAAAATTACAATTGATTTCTATTTTATTCTTTATTCGTTTTAGTGCTGGTATTGGTAGAACAGGTGTATTAATTTTAATGGAAACTGCTTTATGTCTTATTGAAGCCAATCAACCTATATGTCCAATAAATATTGTTCGACAAATGCGTGAACAACGTTTAGGAATGATTCAGACAGCTGTATGAATTGAATTTATTAAAAGATTAATAAAAATTAAATTTCTGTTTTTTTTTTCTTTGAATTTAGAGTCAATATCAATTTGCATGTGAAGCAGTTCTTTATGCATATGATCATGGATTGATAGAAATCAATAACAATTAATTGATTATTCACGTGGACTTTTTCATCTATTGTCAGATAACTTATATGCTCGATGTTCAAATATATGCTTAGCAAGACTTCAAAGATTGAACAGTCTTTGGCCATTCAAAGATCTTATGTTTTTTTTTTGTAGACTTTCTTTTTAATAAAGTGTATTGATAACATTTTTTAATTGAATTATGTGATTTTTTTTTTAATCGAAAAATACAGAAAATAAAAAAGCAATGATTTTTATGAAAGCCTCCTAATTTTAGACACAGTGGTTTGTACAACAAATTTGTTCTTGAATGATTGTGTTTTAGATGTGAGCATGTATTTATCAAAATTGCTTACTGTTGCTCACTTTCAATAATTCATGTCCAATTATTTTAATTATTTTACTCGATTTACTACCGGTTCTCTCAAATATACCGGTACATCATATTCTAGTTATTACTTAATTCATCGTCGATTTTATGCTAATCAAAAAGCAACAAATCATTACGATGCACTTGGTATTAGTTCAAATGCTTCTGCAAAAGAAATAAAAAAAGCTTTTTATAATTTATCAAAACAACATCATCCAGATGTAAATCCTGATGATAAAAATGCTGCACATAAATTTAGTACAATATCAAATGCATATGATATATTAAATGATCCCGTTAAACGACGAGATTATGATGATGAATTATCATCTCGAATATCTCCATCTGATCCATATGTTACATATGATCGAACAAGTACATATGCACAACGAGCACGTGCCCATCGTCCATCAGCATGGAAACCACCACCATCATCATCTAATTCTAGTGGAGGATTTCAAGGAACAGAAAATGCATTTGGTAATAGTCGAAATACAAGCTATGGAACATTTGATAAAGAATATTATGATAATATATTTGGTCGATATCGTGGTCCATTACCACATGGACGTTCGAATATGTATGATTTTGATGAATTTTATCGTGCACATTATTATGATTTTAAATTTTGGGGAAGTACAAGAAAAGAAACACAAGAAAGAATTCGACGTGAACGACAAGAAGCAGAACATCGACGTCAACAAAGAGCTAATCGTAGTACAATATCGAAAGTATCTTCAGCAGCTATTTGGATTAGTGTTGGCCTTTTCTTTCTTTTTATATCAAATATATTACATGACATGCATTTTCAAAAACCAGCAGATGAATTTCGTTCGAAATTTTATATCATTCCGAAGTCATCTAATAATAAATCACATCAAGAATCATCAACGAAGTCTTAAAAAAAAAAGAATTCTCTTTTGTGCATTGAATAATATAAAGTTGTAACTTATTTTTATATTGGCAATGAAATACATGAACTACCTTTTTGTTTTTTTTCATTTATTTTCTTATTTATATTATGAAAAGTTTAAAATATTTTCTTTCTGCATGCTATACATGAGTAGGACCAGTCATCTTTGATCTTGATTCCAGTCTGATCCCGATAATTTTTCGCGTAATCTTGATCTAGCACATCTCTATTCGTGACAATATGATATTCGACATAAGTATCACAATATCATAGAAGATATAGTTCCCAATGAAAAAATGTTGGTCCTAGTCCCTGGATCATTTTATCCATATCTACTAGATACGCATTTTTAAGCATGAGTGTCTGACACGAGGCTAAGCTTGCAACCTGAGCTGAAGGATATTTTTTTTTTGTCGTAAGTTAATTCTAAGTTTTTTAATTGTTCAAAAGCGCATGAATTATTATATTATTTGAGTTAGTTGTTTGCTTTATTCTTGTTCTTTTGTCCCATTTTCTTTATTGAAATTGTGAAACGAGTATTATTTATTAAGTTTGTTGAAATATTTGAGTAGCACTCGAACACATTTAAGCGTAGGCTACATAAATAAACATTTCATATTCACTTAGAATTTCGTGATTGAAATGAGAAGATTAAATGAGAGAAACGCTTTTATTTTTTATTTGTCTTTTCTCATTCTTGTACATTGTATGCCATTGTAATATCAACATTTAACAAAATGCATTAGCTTTTTTGTTGACTAAAAGATACGAATTCATTTGCATGCATCTGTCTGTCTAAAACCACATGATTCAGATGATCATGGAACATGTTTAAAAAAAGAATATCTGGTGGTTCAACATGATCGAACAGTATAGATTTGTTGAACAGCATTGATACAGAGATATTCAGTATGATTTGATTTACATGATTGATAAAAGTCATACTTACTGAATAATATGACCTGAATCTTTTAAATAAAAAGGTTGTCTCGTATAATTAAACAACAATATTAATTTCTTATAATTGTATCAGCAGCCTTTAAATTGATCGAATAGTAAAAAGATATTGAATTCGTAAAACAAAGTCTTTATGATTTTTAAGATAATTTTGAATGTTTATTCGTTTAGTTCAGGGTCAAGTAAATCGACACATGGTGACCGTTACGTATGAATAGTTACCACATGTTTATGAAGAAAAATAAAATAAAATAGAACGAAAAGATATATAACCGATGACCACTCGATCTCCTCTTTTTTATCAGGCTCTTCAATAAATATATTTCAAATAAGAAAAAAACAAAGTTAAATATCGTTTGTATCTGTAAACCATTTAGATAGATGTAATGATCAAATTTGGACTAGCCTTTGATAGGCATACATAGTGACATAATTTAGAGTACTACAACTTGCGGGTCGGGTACCCGCACTCGTCGGGTACCCGAACCCGACGCGGGTATCGGGTTCAATTGGTTACGGGTAGGGTAGGGTACGGGTACGAAAAGTTGTACCCGTGCAGTACTCTAACATAATTAGATCGATCTTTCCTTTCTCCTGTGTCTATAACAAGTATAATGTTATCATGCCACGCGTGTTCTGAAAAACTCTTCTGTAAGATATAGTAGATTTTAAAAAGTTTGATATTTTGAGAAAAGAATATTTTTATTTCCGAACATTTTAATAGTCAAAATGTTTGCTTTATCAGCTAGAATTTAATATCAAAATTCGATAAAACAGTCAACACTGTCGAAGAAAACATAAAAAAAAACGAATTATATAGACTTATATTAGTTTATTAAATTCTATTATTGGATAAATATTAGTTCAATAGAGAACTAACATTTAGCAAAGTTATATATCAATCATAATAACATTATATCATCGATCTAACTATTCTTTTTCTCAATCAAAGAATTATTTACTTGATGATATTTAAAAGTGCTAAAGAAAAAGTTTTTATCATAATTTCTAATTTTAGATTACTCATGGTTAAAACAAATAAAGTTCAAAGTATTTTATATACTCTTGATGAATTACGTCCAATTCGATCATCTGTTGATCAATGTCGTTCTTATTTAGTAAAATTTATTGAACAATATAAATCAATTAATTTATTAGACATTGAAACACGTTTATTAAATCGTTGTGTTTATAAAAATTGGAATGCACGTCGTGCTGAACTTGGTATTCAAGCAAGTCGACGAAATGTTCGTTTACTTGAACAATATTTATCTAAACGTGAACAATATCTTGAACAAATTCTAAAAGAATTTAAACCAGATGATGTTGAAATATGTTTACCATCACGTGGTACATTTAATCAATTAATTAATAATTTAGAAGAATCATCATTATTATTATTAAAAATTAAACGTTTATCAAAATTAACTGTTGATCGATTAAGACTTGAATGTTTTCGAGCTAATTATGTTCATTATAATATATTAATGATGTCTCTTTGTTCAAGAATTTATTTTTTAGTTTTAGCTCTTGATAAAACTCAAAAAGAATTTTGTTATAATATTAAACAATTAATTAAAATATTCAAGAAAAAAACTAAAGAATAAAACTATTCTTTATATTTCAGATGCCAAATTGTCTTGATTATGCTCGCTTTTTAAGTAAAGCAGCTGCACGTAGACAACCAAGTGCTATTCGTGAAGCTAGTAAGCATTTATTTATAATTAAAGGTGTAAGTCTATCGACCAAGTCACCATCAGAAGATAATAATAAACATTAGATTTTTTGAAAATTTTCGACATTCAAAATTAGTTTCCAGAAATGTTCTTGTCTAGTTTCTTATCATCACATTCTCTATCAACATTTTATTCGATTATCATTTCATAGAACTAAGAAAGTTTTCATAAATGAGAATTGACTCTTATGACGGTCGCCGTTGTTCATGACCTTTATATTTAACGCTGATAATACATGATTCTTCCGTATGCGCCGTTGATTAGTCCAATCGGCTTACATCTTTATTTATAATTAAATTTATTTAAATAATCAATATTTTAGCTCAACTATTTCAACGATCACCACCTTCAACTATTAGTTTTGCATCAGGAAGTCCTAATGCATCTTTATTTCCATTTAAGGAAGCAACAATTACTTTAATGTACAACTTCTTTTTCTTTCGTTTTGCTTTATAAAAAAATATAATTGCCTTCTTCTTCTTTTTTTTGATAGAGATGGTACGGACATTCAATTAGATGGGTCTGCAATGTCTAAAGCATTACAATATTTACCTACACCTGGGTAGATATTTTTTGTAATTTTCAGTATAGTTCATTAGTTTTTATGGTTTTAATAGACAACCAGATTTATTAGAATGGTTCAAAAAATTAATAAATCGTTATCATTCTCCAAATGATTTTAAACGATATGATTTATGTATAACAAATGGTTCAATGGAAGGATTAGGCAAAGTTTTTGAACTTGTACTCAATCCTGGAGATCCTATTTTAGTTGATTCACCTTGTTATTCAGGATCTTTAGATTTTGTATATTAAAAAAAGCCAAAAAAAAGTTTCATGTTTTTTTTTTTTATTGATCTCTATGTTTAGCTTCGTGGATTTGGCGCTGATATTATTAGTATTGAAACAGATTCGAATGGTATGAATGCTAAACATTTAAATGACACTCTTTCAAGTTGGTCTACTTCAAAAAGTTTACCTAAAGCTCTTTATACAATTCCAAATGGTTCTAATCCAACAGGATCATCAATGAATTTAGAACGAAAAATAGCTATTTATGAAGTAAAACTAAAAATAATAATAAATATTTTTGACTAAATTCATATTTCAATATTTTTTTAAAATTTATTTAGATTGCTAAAAAATATAATCTTTTAATTATTGAAGATGATCCATATTATTTTCTACAATTTACAGTAATAATCAATAAATAATAGAATTTTTTTTTGTTTTTCATAGAAAATAATTATAGAAACCAGATCCATCATTTTTATCAATGGATATTGATGGTCGTGTTATTCGACTTGATTCTATGTCAAAAGTTTTATCAGCTGGGTAAAAATTCAATTGATTAGTGGAAAATAATAAAGTAAAAAAGAAAATCAATTATTTATATAGAATGCGTCTTGGTTTTGTTACTGCACCAGTACCATTATGGCAAAAAATAGTTTATCATCAACAAGTAACAAGTATGCATGCAAGTTCTCTTTCACAAGTAAATTTTTCATAGAAAAAAAAAACGAAATTCTTAACAACGTTTTTCATATTTATTCATTAGATGTTAGCATTAAAATTATTCGAAAAATGGAATTTATCAGGATTTGATGAACATACACAACGGTAATAATTATTAACAAAAATTTTTTATTCGTTAATTTTTATATGTTATAGAATTTCAAAGTTTTATAATAATCAAAAAACATTAATGGTCAATGCTATTAAGAAACATTTGAAAGGTATATTTATTAAAAGAATTTCAAATTAAACTTTTATATTCTTTTAAATTATCTTAGATAATAATACAAAAATTATAATTCTTCTTTTTTTGTGTCTTTTATCTAATATTTTTTAGTTACAGTGGCTTCAAGGAAACATCAATACAAATCTGTTATAGACTTAGATGAAGTGATGGAATATGACATTTTTTGCCACTTTATCCAATTGAGATATTGATTATTTAACCTTTTCTCGAATTTTGAATTAATTTGCTAAGTTTTTTTTTTTTTTTTGCCTGAAAATATCCTTTCGTTATAGACTCATTAGTATTTATGATAAAAGTTATTTGTTTTCGTCATATTCAATTTAATTTGAATATAATAATATTAATTTAGATATGATCACATTCAATGAACCAACAGCTGGAATGTTCATATGGTTAAAAATCAATGGCATTGAAGATACAAGAAAATTAATTTATGAAAAAGCACTTGGACAAGAAGTATTACTTTTACCGGGTAGTGCTTTTTTCTTTGATCAATCAAAATCTTATCCATTTGTTCGAGTTTCTTATTCACTTTGCACACCCGAACAAATTGAGACAGTAAATCTATTTATTATTATTATTATTATTATTTTATTGTTTTTGATAAATTTATTTTTATTTCAATAGGGTATGACACGTTTTGGTAAAGTACTTCGAGAAGAATTAAATCACTAACAAGACAAAATATTAATGATAATACTATCGGAAAATTCCGTTTTTTGTTTTTCTTCTCTACGATTGTAAATCATTAAAAAATAAAAATAGAATAGAACTTATGTTCAAGCAAATAATTTTTCTCTGAACATTATTCTCACCAAAAATAAAAAACAAGATATATTTAAGAGATCTTTGAAATCATTGATCAAAAACAAAGAAGAAAAAAAATGGAAACAAAAAAATAAATATAAAATATCTGTAGATGTCAATATGTATATTCAACGTTCTTCATTTAGCAGATGTTCTTTTCTTTATTATGTATCTTGTTGTCTATAGAGAGTTGATATTTATACAGGTGCCGTTTGATTGACAAGCAATTGTATAGATCAAATCAGGACAGAATACGATTGATGATAATATAAACATTTACCAAGAGAAAATGATGACAGTATGTGATATGTGATCATTATACTGCTGTGCAAGCGAACGATGACAATATTCTAATGTCATACAAAGAAACAGAATTAGGTGAGTCGAATGTTTTATTTGGATTGTTGTTGAGTTCATGATATCTCATTTGAATCTGTTCTGATTGATTCTTATCTCGGTCATCATTTATTAAATTAAATGGAGATGATAAGAGTTCGTGTGTGTTCACAATTCCTCATTTAAACAATTCCTTTCTCGAATAGTCATTGGTTAAGTAGAATCCATTTAATAATCCGGCTTAAACTACATGATATGTCAACGAGTATTGTTAAGATACACATATTGAATACGAACAACAAATAATATGCAATTCATGATTACACATAATGATGCATTTGCACTTAATTATCAAGGTTGACAATTAGCTATTCAATGTGACAAAACCGTAAACAAACCAAACAACGTAATTTTTTTCATTATACATATATACTGTGACCGTGCGTTAGAAATGCTGATAATTTTTGTATTTTTCCTGTTATTGTTTTTTATTTAAGTTATTCTCTTCTATATATATATAAAAAAAAAACATTGTAATTGATAGTATTAAGATCAAACTGAGAAATCATGAAATGGAATCGAATCGAGAAGACACTCAATTGAGAGATCATCGGATAGCATCGAAACGGGAAGCAATCGAGATCGGATTGAAGCGGAGAGTAAATTATTTTATTTATTCAAATAAAAATCACTTGTTATTAATCTTAATTTATTTAATCATTCTGTATTTTATCTTACCTATTCTCATATCCATTTATTTAATAAAAAGAGTTTCTTTTTCAATTATTATTATTATTATTTTAATTGAGATAGACGACAAACAAATTTAGGCTAATCACTTTAAGTTGATTATTTTCAATCAATCACTTGCTTTTTTTTCTTTCTTTTCAAACTTTATAGTTTGAAAAGAAAGAAGAAAAGTAAGTCAAATATTAGATAAGTGATAGGAAAAGAAAGAAAGCTCGTATTTCAATGAATTCATGCAAACACTTGTGCTAACACCAAGACGAGAAACGGAAAAAAGAGAATAAGACGAGAAATAATGATAAAGCACTCGCAATAAACTTAACGAGGTAAGAAAAAGCCAGTAAGACTATTATAGATATTCACGGAAACAATATTAAACATAGCTTCAGATTGTACCTGTTGATTATGTTATTTTTATGGGTTTTGCAGTCTCCTATATTTCTAAGAAAACATTTGAAATGATTTGTTTTGATATGGTTTGAAAGCAAATTAATTATTCAATGGAATCATTTTGTTTTCATGTTGTCTATCTAATATTTTTTCTAAAAATAAAATAAATTATTAAAACGTGTTCAACAAAGGTTTTTCTTTTGTTTTATAACTAAATTTTTTTGCAATCATTTTCCAGTTAAATTCTATAGTAATTATGATTTATTGACAACAAACTAAATGATTACCTGGAAATATTTTATATGAGTTTTAGTTTTTCATAAGCTTTTCTTTATTCTTTTCTTTCCTCAATAAATATCTAACGGGTGAATTTTTTTTTAATCAAAATGTATCTGGAAAGAGTATTGATTTCTCTATTGATTTAAATTACTTAAGTATAGTTTACGTCAAATCATATAAGTTTGTACGAAAAATATAAGAAACTTGTTTATTTTCTTTTATCATCATTACCAATGAATTAAATTTTAATAGAAAAACGCAATTGTTTTTCGTGTCCTTCAAAAGTCAAATTAAATTTATTTAATATTTCTTATACATTTATATGAGATAAATCTTTTCTACGTAGAATAATTTTCACAATTAAATAATTTCCTATGAATATTTCTATCGATTCGAAAAACTTACTCAATTTTAGAAAAAGATCTAAGAAAAAAAAAAATAACTCATCTACTATCCAAATACATATGAATATACAAAGCATATAAACTTTTTTATAAAAAAATACCACAAGATGAATTGACTTGCATATTTAACAATTTAGTTAATAACATATTACGAATTATATGGTATAAACTTAACCTTTCTTAAAAAGTAAACAATCTATTTATAATTGAAAGAAATATTCCGTTTTTTTTTATGCCAAATAAAAATTCAAAAAAGGAATGTGTCACATGTCTTTTATCAATGATAATTACTATATTTTCCTTTGTATACAATAGTGTTAATCAGTAGTAGCTTGAAATCTAATCTTGAATGTATTATTAATAAATTTACTGAAAAGAAAAGAACACATAAAATTTACTGTAATCAGAAAAATAGATAAACATTGAAAATCGAAATAAAATCAAGGCGAATTCCTCGTCAAGTGTGATCGAATTCAATTATGATTGATTCTTGCAAGCGCTGTCTTTCCTCTCTCTCTGTTATCGGTCTGATGATTTTACATAAATATGTATGTCAATAAATAAATAAAAAATGCAGAAAAAGAAAAACTTTTTTTTTTGATGTTGTTTTAATAATAGAATTCTCCTTATCCTAATGTAAAACGATGTCTATAAATAGATTTCGAGTATTTATATATATATACATATGTGATCATGTAAAAACTAACCAAAATATCATGATCATATCTAATCCGTATTCTAAACACGTTTATGCTTTCTTTCGTGTGATATTGACAAATAAACAAATACATATATTTGACTGATATTGTACATTTTTAATTCATTGGATGTATTATATTGTATTGAATTGATATCTAAATTAGACAATGAGACCATAGTAAGATCAAGGCACTTATTAATCTTATATATGTACAATAAAGGTTTCATTCATGAATTTCAATCTTTCTATATATATATATTTAGAATATTATAATTATGAATGCTGTACTTTTTGATGACTTCTTTTTCATTGCTCGTTCTTTCGCACGTCAAAACTCGTTTTTTTTTCTTTGTTTTTTTTTTTGGTAGAAAATTTTCGCCAGAACCAAGCGTTTCTTACTCATTGCTTCACTCATAATATTCTTTCTCCGACTTTGTTCGACTATATGCCATTTCTTTTCCAACATTAAACACACACACACACACACATATCGAGACTACATCCTTTTCCCAATAGATTCTCTGCTGAACAATAGCTTAGCGTAAATAATTTTGTGAAATGAATTAGTTCTGGCAATTGAATTCAAATAAAACCCAATCGATTGCTATCATATTTCCTATTAATTCACATCCATGTATTTAATCGTATATATATATATACATGTCACAAATAATCATGGTAATTTTCCTCATTGATAACTTATCTAATATTATTGGTAAGTATAATAGAGCACATATCTAATATATCAGTGGTAAATTAATAAACTATTTTTTTAATGAACTTTATCAATTTTGATACAACCTGATAACAACATATTCTAATTGTATACTTATGTATATTTCTAGATATGAACATGATTGTCAGTTATATATTGTTTATTTAACTGTCATGTCTGAAATATGATCTTAACATCATTGTCAATACTTCAGTCTACGAATATAATTCACATATTATAATTATTTTTACTTGTGTAATCAAAGATAGTAAAGTCCTTTCTTTAATATCTTTCTTCCTGTTCATGGTACAATCTAATTTTATCTATAGTTTGTAGACGAAGAGGCGGAAAAAGAAAAGAGAAAAGAAAAAGCACTTTTTTGTTGTTGTCTCTTTGCAAATAATCACACCCCAAACATCTGTCCCTGACTATGCTTTGGACTCAATTAATAACAAACGATAAATCATATCAATAGACACATTTTTATACTTGATCTCTAACAATTTATAACGAAATACTTTCAAACATGATTCATTCTGTCATCTTTCTTTTCAAAAGTATCATCTATCAATAGCAAAAAAAAAAAAAGAATAAGATATTCATTTTTCTTTAGTTTTGAAGACAGGCACTTCAATAGTCTTTACTTTCTCTCTCTCTCCCTTTTTCTTATATTATCAAATAAGAGAAACAAAAAAAAAAAAAAAAAAAATCGAAAGGCTTATATGAATAGTGTAATTATCTTGCAATTGTTTTTTGTTTCTTTTTCTAGTATAAAGTGTCACTCGAGTAATGACATTAAGTAAATAATATAGAAGAAATATTCAATAAAATACAATTCAAATTATTAACTGTATACTTTTAATGATGCATAAAAAAAAAACACATCTAGTTAAAAAGATGATTGTAACACTCATACTAAGATGCATATTGTGAATTACTATATATGTCATGATGTGATGCGGAAATCAATACATTTCTCTGTGATGGATTTCCTTTTTTGTTTCTTTTAGTAGAGCACGCTTAGAATTTTTTTTGTTTTTTTTCTTTTTCTTTTCTTTTGTTAGTTAAGATTCTTTTAGTTACTTACAATGATCTGATTATCTTAGATATTAATGTAACTTATGTACGGATTTTTAAACATATTTTCTATGATTGTTAATAATAAAAGTGCGAAAAAATTTTATTTAAATTGTTCATTGATGTTATTGATCTATTGTAGTGTAAAAGAAAAAAAACTTCTCATCAGTTCATGATGAATGTTACTCAAGCAAGCCAAAATAATCTAACAATAACTGACATTTTATCAACAATTCAAAATAATATAAAAGTTTCTCGAATTGGTGAACTTGTTATCGGCATAATTGTAAATTTAACATAAATATTTAATTAATAAGAATATTATTTTTATCTTTAGGCTTATTCAATTATAATTATATTGAGTATTATTGGAAATGTTATTGTTGTTACAGCTATATTTCGTGTGCAACGATTACGTCATCCAACTAATTTTATACTTATGTCACTTGCTATTGCTGATCTACTTGTAACAACGACAGTTATGATACCAGGATTTATTTTTGAGATAAAACAAAAATGGATATTTGGACGAGTATTTTGTAATATTTGGGTAGCTAATGATATAACTTTTTGTACAGCATCTATTTTACATCTTGGTAAGATTGTATTTTCTTTTTCTTATTCAATTTATATATAGATATATATATATAAATAAAAAGAAATCTATTATGTGATTATTTTTTTTTTGTCTTGATATAAATTATTTTAGTTGCTGTTAGTTTTGATCGCTATGTTGCTATTGAAAATCCACTTAAATACAAACAAAAAATGACAAAACGTACAATATTTATTATAATTGGTTGTATATGGTTAATAAGTGTATTATTATCATATGGACCAGTTTTACTTGGTGTTTATAGTCGATCTCGTACTGGTGCAGTTTCATCTGCTCCAACTGAATGTGGTATGAGACCTAATCTAATTTATTCGATAATATCATCGTCAACATCATTTTATATTCCACTTATAATAATACTTTTTCTTTATGGTCGAATATTTATAACAGCTCGTAAACATTCACATGAATTACAAAAACTTGAAAATATTATTAAACGTTTACATAGTAACGAAAAATTTCAATTAGAAAGTTCGAAATGGAAAAAAAATATGAAAGCTATACGAACATTAGGTAAATGAAAAAAAACAAAACGCAATTAAAATTTATTAAATAAATTCTTTCATTTTTTTTTCTTTTGTTTGTTTATATTTAGGTATTGTCGTTGGTGTATTCGTTGCTTGTTGGTTACCTTTTTTTGTCATGTATCTTTTATTAGCTTATTGTAATTATAAATGTGTTACTCCAAATATTGAACGTTACATAACTTGGATTGGTAATGAATCCTTTTATTTTTATTATATATATTATTCTATTAATAGCATCATCGTTATGTTTAGGTTATGCTAATTCATTTTGCAATCCAGTGATTTATGCATTTTCAAATAAGTATGTTTTTTTGAAATTTATTTTCTTCTATTAAACTATATAATCATTTACATAGATATTTTTCAAAGAATTCTGTTAATTATAGATATAGGAAAGAAGTAGTTTATGTGTGTTAATAGCTGATGATGGAACCTCATGGGATACTCATTTCCGGTGTCAATGATTTTTTTCTTTTGTTTTTTTTTATTTATCGATATTACGTAGTATTCTATTGAAAGTTCTAAAAGTGTTCGAATCTCTATTGATACTGGATAAAACTATTCTAATTGTTAATAAATCTATTGATCAGGGATCTTTGTATAGCCTTTAGATTCTTGAAAAACTAGTGGTTTTTTTTATGCTGTCTAGAAACTATCTTCATTTAACCCACATCCTTTTGAAAAATTCATAGCTCAGAGATACGAAGTGTAAAAACTGTGAAGCTTTACATATAAACTGCTATATGTGAAACCTGTAAATGGAGATATTTCCTAAACAAAATTAAAAAATAGGAATTTTTCGAAAGCCTGTGATTCTATAGAAGTTTCTAGAAAATAGATATATGAAAAATTCAATAGTTCCACTAAATATCAATAGAAATTCAAATTCTTTTAGGGTTCTCAAAAGAATATTATGCAGTATACACAGACAAAAAGTTATTGAAATCCGAAGGTGATATCCTCATACGTTTAGATATGTGTTTTTAATGTTTGAAGAGAAAAAAAAAAAACATCAAACTTGTTCCAAATTCTCATGTTTATTATTGCTTATGGATTTCTCTGCTTAGAACGAAGAATAACTGTTAAAGTTAAGTACTTTATTATTTTTTCGTCGATATTTATGAAAGTATAAAAATTCAATTAAAATATCATTCAATATGTTTTTAAAATTTTTTTTTGTCTTTCATATAGATCATTGTTGTTAAAACCAAAGAGTCATGCTGTAAAATTTCTATGATTTTTTTTTTCAAAAATTTATTATTTCGTATTCTAAAAGAAATCCTGTTGAAAGAAGAAACTGAATAGAAAATGTCTCGAACAAATAATTTATATGTTTGCTAGAGATATTTTCTGAATAAATATGTCAAATCTAATGTTCACTTGAAATTTAAAACATTTACTATATGACAGAGACGCGACGGAGAGATTGCTGATTTTGAAAGAGAAACCACAAAAGAAAAAAAAGAAGTATGCTGTATTCACCTGGTGAAAACTGCTCATTTCCTCAAGGTATTTGAAACCTTTTTTGAGTGATCAATCTTCCAATCTCACACTTCGAAAAATGTTCCTGTTATATAGTAATAACATTCTAGTGAATGCACTGAGTTCAAGTGAGACACTTACTATGAATTTCTAACTAGTCTAGTTCAAAAGTCTTTTACACTGTTTAAACCTGATCGGACTATTGAAAGAAATGGAAATGGATTGAAAAAACAAATATCCAGCAAGAAATATAGTTTTAGAGTCGTTTATATCCATTTTCGACCTCGGAATCTTGAATTTTCCCGCTTAGTCTTTTCAGATAAACCTAACGTTTTCATTCAAACAACGACCTAAACCTAAACTTGACCATTACTAAAATATATACGCTATAAATTTAGCTCAAGTAACATAATTTCGATTGAGTTTACAAAAAAAGAAGAAAAATGCTTTGCTTAAGAGAATAAAATAATATGGATGAACAGAACAAAATAAAATTGATTGTTATAGAATGTATGAAACATTTTTCCATCAGTAAAAACTAAGTCTATTATACCTTCAGTACTTGCCAGGTGATTGTTCAGTTTCTATAGCATTGTATTAAATATGTTAAAAAAAATTATTGAATTGAATATTTTTAAAAGCATTTTGTAGTCAAGTACTAAAACACTCTTATCTCATAACTTGAATCCCAACTTGAGCTCTGCGACTAGTACAGGCGGCTCAGATGCATCAACGTTTTCAGAGTCATGTTTGAAATCGGTCGAGATTTTTTTTTAACCGAACTGAACCGACTGGTCTAGTTTTCAGTGTGATTAGAATTCATAGAAAACGACTCAATTCTGTCAGTTTTAAGCGACTTCAAAAAGATGCATCTGTTTTGATCCAATACATCATGATACAACAATCTCAACAAAAGAAGAGTATCGTGTCACTAGAGGAGCATTACATCAAACTTCGATTCTATGACAATGTCATAGAGTTTGTAGTCATATTCTCTAGTAATAACACTTGATTACTTTAAAAGATTTATTTATAATTAACTATTGATTATAAATTTATCCGATTAACATTCCGTTATTTATCTAGTTTTTAAAAATAATCTTTTTTTTTGTTTTTCTTTTTAAATTCTATTTAGAGAATTTCGTAATGCATTTTTTGAAATTCTTCATTATAATAATTGTAAATGTTTGCCATTATCATCTGATAGCAAAGTTCGTACATCTATTAGTAAATCAAATCATTCAATGAATACAAAATATACGCCACCAATACGATCACGACAAGCAAGTGTTATACCATATTCAAATCCAACACAACGTAATGGTTGTCTTTCATATGAAATATCTCCATTTATATGCAAACCTTTACAAAAAAAGACTAGTTTCCTTATAAAAAATGATAATACGGATTCATTAGAAATGCAAATTCTTCAAAATCAACGTAAAACACTTGAAGCATTTTATGAACTTGAACATCTTTTACCAAATGGTGTTCCTTGTCGTGCATCAATTGTTGAATTGAGATCAATAATACCAGATCAAGATGATAATAGTGTTGAAATATCCATAGAAAAAAATCAAAATTAAACCATGAGAATATAAATTATTTTTTTTTCTTTTGAATTTATATCATGATTTGTTTTCTTTTTTTAATGCCTTCTCATTCCACTAGTCATCTTTTTTTTTTATATGTGCTCTCAATAACGGTGACTATATTAAATGACAATACCCAGTGTGTGTTTGTGTGTGATATTTGTGAACTATTGTTTTTTTTTTTAATGTTCTTTTTATTGATTTCCAATAAGAAGAAGATTGTGCCTGTGATAAACAAAAAAAATATTTAGTCTTGATATATATATATATATATATATATATATATTCAATTATATTTAGTGTTGATAATTATAGAAAAGACAAAATTTCATAGTTATTAACGTGAAATAATTTTAAATATAGAAATAGTACGAAAAATATAGAATATTTTTCTATTTTATTAAACAAGTAAAAGATTATTTTGATAATTACTTTTTAGTTCTTTTATTAGTACTGTACTTTTATTTTGTTATAATCAAAATTGTCTTCGTTTAAAATAACATATCGATGTATTCAATAGCTAGCATTGTTAGTGGGTCAGTTGTCTCTTCGGTACATTTCTTTTCTTTTTTTTATGATATCAGCTATTAATATACATGTTACACTATTGTGGGTGGGTGGGTGTGTTAGTAAAGTGTGGCAAATGCAACATTAAACCACAATTTTTCATTCGTTTTTTTTTTTAATGTATGGTTAGGTAGAGCGTGACGAACGGATGAGAAATATGAGTTTAAAATTTTTTTTCTAATAGCTTTTTGGAAGAAAATTTTTCAAGTGACCCACTTTTTTTCTGTAAGAAAAAAATCAAATGTTTCATTTGAAACCATCGTTTCAGAAAAAGTAGGTCATTTGAAAAAAAAACCTATAGTTTTAAACAGCTCGTCACATTCTAACTAATCACATATTTAAAAAAATTCTTCTTTAATTTTGTGTTTTCTTCATCTTTCATGAACTTAAAATTGATAGAAATAATCTAGAAAATTATTCTTATAGATTTACGATAATCTATTTGATTCTTTCAAATTCTTTTCATTGGAATTTATTCTTTTTTGATATATTCGAAGTTATTTTTAATTTTCTAATGTACTTCACCCTCATCTATCTTATCTTGATATTTAAATCCATACGCACATGTTTCATTCTCATATATCACTCACATTTGTACTTTGGATATCTATTCTATTTAGTATTATAAATGAGAGTGTATTAATATATTTCTTTTGTCTTAGATATTGAATCTCAATATTTCTAAAAAAAAAAAATGTTAATACCTCGGATAATTCGTTTATTAACTAATTTTTCAATACAACAAAAACAATATTCTTCATTATATAGACAACTTAGCATAAAAAATTCTTTTACAACCATAAATAAAAATCATGAAATAGAATTAAAATTAAAATCAATAAATGATACACATGCAACATTAATTATTAATGGTAAAGAATGTAAATATGATTGGATATTTTTACGAGATTCATGTCAATGTCATCAATGTATTGATTCATCAACAAAACAAAAACAATATAATACTACAGATATTCCCTTAACTATTTCTCCACGACAAACAGGAGTTAAAATTTTAAATAATGATATTCTTGAAATACATTGGAATCAATCATTATTAAATGAAAAAAATTCTAATATACATCGTAGTTTATATTCAAGTACTTGGCTTGAAACATATTCAACATCAGAAAATATTCAACGTTCAAGATATAATGATCGTCCAAATATTTATTGGAATCAAAATGATATTCAACAAGTAAATTTACATGTTAAATGTAATGATTATCTTTATTCTGATCAAGGATTATATACTGCATTAAAATATCTTAATGATTATGGTCTTGTTTTTATTGATAATGTACAAGGAGAATTTACTATTGAACATCTTGTTGAAAGAATAGGTGAAATTCGTCATACATTTTATGGTAAAACATGGAATGTTCGAAATGTTCAACAAGCTATTAATGTTGCTTATACATCTCAAAAACTTGGACTTCATATGGATTTATTATATTTTGAAGCACCACCAGGTTTACAATTTTTACATTCACTTGCAAATAATGTTAATGGAGGAGCATCATATTATACTGATACATTTCGAGCAGCTGAAATTCTTCGTCAAAATGATCCAGAAGCATTTCAAATACTTTGTTCATATCCTGTAACATTTCATTATCGAAATATTGGTCGACATTTTCATTTTACACGTTCAACTGTTGTTTTAAATAGATTTTCATTAGATAATCGTATTGATCATATTAATTATTCACCACCATTTCAAGCTCCATTTGAAAGTGATACATCAAAATCGGAATTTCGAAAATTTATTCGAGCTTTTCAATATTTTCGTGATTTAATAGAAGATCAAAATAATCATTTGGAATTAGTTTTAGAAAAAGATCAATGTGTAATATTTCATAATCGTCGAATTCTTCATGCAAGACGTGAATTTGATCCATCTAGTGGTGAACGATGGTTTAAAGGATGTTATACTGATCTAGATAATTTTAAGGATAGATTAAGAATTTTTCGAGAAAAATTTGAACCGATTTCAGATCTTGAATTTTAAATAAATAATATCAACTTAATTAAACATTTTCATGATTAGTCTTTGTGTTTTTTCTCTTCAAAGTATTCAAACGAAAACGTTAGGATTATATCGATCGTATTTACTGCGTCGGTAGTGAGAGTGTCACAATATAGATGTGTTGTAAGTGTATTTGTCAAGTATAGCTCTTTAGAGCAAAGCTTTTTGACTTTGACTTCAAGAAACTCTGAAAAGTTTTTTGACTGTTATACATAGTTCTTCTTATTCTATTTGTAATTTACAAAGCAAACTAATGGTTTTTTTAAACTTCTTTATCAATCAATATAGCTTATATGAGCATCTATGGTAGATGCCACTGGTCATCACGTTGTTCTCCGAAAGATTTGATGGAGAGAAAGAGAGACCTATTTTTCTAAGTTGGTTTCATGTAGAGGGAATACTTTTTCTGATAAAGAAAATTAAGATTAATCGGCCGAAACCTGAGTAATTCTAATGCACTGATTAATTATGTATAGATGTTGTCTGATGTACACTGCTATAATAGCTAGTCAACGTATAAGACTCATTTCAATCGGATCTTTTTTATTTTGACTAATTATTATTACTCAATAACGGTTGGTCTCAAAGGTAAACATATTCTTGATTTCTTCGTTAGTAAAACAGGTCTTAAGTTATCCGTGATTGAGTACTCTTACGGTTCTTCCGATATCTTTATTTTGCTCGAATGCTCGAAACTTCGATAACTAGCAACGAATCGAAAACTCGTCGAGAGATCGAACATGGGTCTCCGATAGAACGACTTTCGAGTGCTCGAATGCGGATGACTAGCGAGCGGCTCGAAATCAAAACAGAACAAACAAAAACAAATATATTTCACATTTTCGAGAGCTCGTCGCATCCATCGTATGCCTTTTATTGTCTGATTGGGTGATGAGTTGTTACAAGGACCTTTCGATAAATAGCAGCTGTTTTTCTGTGGAACTCACGTATATTTTTGAAGAAAATAGTGAGTGTAAGTTTAAGGGCGAGTTTTTTTGCGCCCCCCCCTGCCCCATTACAGATATACCCATTACAGACACACCCACCAGTACAGACAGGCTCCCGTTACACACAGGCCTCCATTACAGACATTAGCAACAAGTGTATGGTTGCATTAAAGACGTTAGCAACCAGTATATGGGTGCATTGCAGATAGGTCCCATTACATGCGTTAGCAATCAAGGAACAAAATAAATAAGACATTTTTTTCTACTAATCAATTGTCTCTTGGGGCTAAGCTGGATGCTACCAAGCGGGTCCACAGGTTGCGGATAGTGGAACGGCCATTAGTATGATGGTTAGCTGCGAATAAGATCAAGCGATTGATCAAATAAACAGTCCCGGACAATACTCAGCCTCTTGCCAACAGGGTGTGGTGGGGTTTTGATTGGAACCGAAACTCTTATAAAATGCCACAGAAACCCAAAGACGACAGGATGATAGGGCGAATATAGGCCGCCAGAAACAAGGTTCCTCTCGAACCGAGATTTCATAAGCCTTATCCTGGGTCGATGGAACTCGCTAGCCATGACTAGTAAATTCATCAAATGGAGAAAACCATTCCAAACCGGCGGAAGGCAAGGGGAAACCACCGCTGTACACTCCCAAGCACAACATGATAAACGTCAATATTTCCAATCAAGATAACAGCGTGAAGGGGGTTCTCAGAGAGAACAACTCGCTCGGTAGAGATGGTCATGTACGACAGATGACCCTCGATCGTCAACAGGCTACTGNTTGCGTGGCGATTCATTGAATTAATCAAGGTTGATTGAAGTCAATCATCATGATTAATTTAAATAGTTTTATTTTGATTGATTCACAAATGCAATGCAAAGAAAACGATCACTCAAATGCTGATTATTATGTGTGTAAAACTTCAAAAGTATGAAGAAAGTTGTGCAGAATTATTATGAATTATTATGAATTATGATCAATTTTGATAACTGTTGTTATGATGAACTTTTACCAGGTATAAGAGGTCTTGATTATTTTTGATGACCTTCTCCGAGTTATGAGTTACTTTGATAATTTTTTACCACTTTTTACGAATTTTGATTAATTATGATAATTTTTGGTAAGCTTTTATCAATTATACTGAACTATTACGAGTGTTATTCATCTGATAAATGATGTTATTTTTCATGAACTTTTACGAATTTTCATGTATTCTGATGAATGATAGAATTGCGATGAATTTTAATTAATTATGAATGAAACTGCATTTTCTCCATTCTCGTTACAGCAAATCGGGGTTGATGACAGTGAGTGAAATTGCACATGGACCCTAGGCAATTTTGAGTCATTCTTCATCAATACCCTGGACGATTGACCACGGTGAATACAACAACAATATCTTCTGAACTAATTCAATCGTATTGTATTCCGCTCCCACCACAACAAGACAATGGCGAATTTTACGCAAAGCAGTTTATGGTTTCTTCGAAATAGAGATGATTTTTATGATTTTCTATAAACTGTTACAAATGCTGATTATTTTTCATGGATCCTGATGAGCTCTTAGAATTTTGATTCATTTTTATAAATTCTGATGAGTTATGATGAACGATGATATATTAAGATTTTTACGAAGGAATTTAGACCATTATGAAATGATATAAATTATGAGGACAACTGTATATCAATGTATGAACAGAGGTCTATTATTGTGAAATTTGTTGAAGTTATGGGCATCATTATGAATCTTAGCGGAACAGTATGAATTATTGTAATGATGAAACAATATGAAGAATATTATGGTGACTTATACTCCATCTGGATGAATTAGGGTGGATGGTGAATTAGGATGAACTCCACACTGCCAATGGCAGTCGGATAAATCAACATATTAGTGGCGGATAATAAGAATTCATCATTCGGTTACGAGATGCTTGAAGAAGGTGCAAACTGAAAGACATGGTATTGTAATGGAGCAATATCACAGAACATCAGTGGACGTACCTAAGAACAGCTAGTATGGGGCTGATAGGGCGAGGCGTGACGCACTCTTCCTTTTTGGACATCAGTACGTCTCATGTCTCTTCACCCTAAATCTTTTCAATTGTCTTCAACTTAATCAAATTCTTTTCTCCTTTTTTTATGACAACTTGGCGTCAATAATAATGAAAAACTATTTACGAATGTAGGTCACCTGTGAAGAGAGCGATTGAAGAACCAGAATGCAGCGAAGCGAACGACCAATGAAAATCACAAAAGCAATTGAGAAACATGACGTTACTCTTTGGGTGTCCAATACAATATGTATCAACATTTCTTGGTGTCGAATGTTTGATTCGATCGACTATTGGTGAAGACACAATACTGCATGAACAGGTCAAATCGGCTATTATATGAATTCCCCTTTCCTGCACATTTTTGTTTCAATTTCCTATTTTTTGTTGTGTGCTTCCCTCAAGGCAGGGTGAGTACAACAAACTCATTTTTTACGCTGTCTTGTACTAAACTCAAGCAAGAGTATGTACAACAGTTTCATTTTTTTTGTATACTGTCTTGTGCTCCACTCAAGGAAGAGTGAGTACAACAACTTTGTTTTCTTTTACGGTCTTGTACTTAACTCGCAGAAGAGTATGTACAACAGTTTTATTTACTTTTGTAAGCTGTCTCGTGCTCAATTCAATGTAGAATGAGTATAACTGTTTCCTTTTTGTATGGTGCTTATGCTCAACTCTATGAAGAGTGAGTATAGCAATTTCATTTTTTTTGTACGCTCGCGGTATACGTGTCTCACTTTTCAACGCTTTGTGTTTTTCATCACCGACTCAAATCTTGTAGACGCTCAGGAGCGCGTCTCAATTGAGGAAGGAGATGTGCCAACAAGGCATATTATCTTATATGATATCCTTACATTCTCAGTGCCCTTGTATAGTTAATGTTTCGTAATGTTCCTACTCGTGTTACTATTACGTTTATTTATGATTGATTGAACCTTGTTCTCTTTCTGTTGTAACGCACTTCTCATTCTATATCAATATCGACTCATATAATATATGTATCGCTTTCGCCTTGTGTTCACACTATGCTGTTCCTCTACGTTGTTCTCTCCTTGGCCTCATTTTCTATCTTTTCATCATCGCTTGTTCTACTCATCGTATATAAATGTGTCCTTTGGATGTAAAAGATACGATTGCACAATGTTCTGTTATAGCATTCCTCTTTCCTTTCTCTTCTGGTGTTGTATTCTCTTTTCTCTCTTCTCTCCCAACCCTCTTCTATATAAGCTCATGTTATGCATTAGATAGTCACATTTAGATGTAGTGCACTAGTCGAATAAACATCATGCCCACAAGGAGATCAAAGACATTTAATGTGCCTCTCCATTTGTCATTAATGGATATATATATGAATATATTTTTCGTTACATTAACTATTTGGCAATGATAAACAGTTGCATTATACAGTAGCTATTAATCCTTGAGGGTGGGTGTGGGTGTCGTTTAACCAAACATTTACACTCACACCGATATAAATCGAAAAGCCTATACTTAATACTGAATTAATATTCCTACTGTCATTACGCTAACACAAAGCTTATCACGCTTAACGCACCGTGTTCGTGAAAAAATGTGTGTGGAGAAAGTCATACCTGTTTTAAGACGATTTTATGCTGACTTTCATTAGTATCCAACCTTTTCGCCCTCTAGAGATATTGAGCATAGTCTTATTAGATATCAAATGTTGCTGTGACCATCGACGCATTTGTTCTATGTCTTCCAAGACTCAATGATCAGGAGTGTTGAAGACATAGCATTTATAATAAGTGTTCTAGGTCGGTTGTTAGCTATTGAGGGTGTGGGTGTGGATTTTCGTTTCACCCATACCCATTTCTGGTCTTCGTAATACTCGACCTGTGAAAAAAACTTTTCTTTTCCTTATCGATAAGCCAATTTAATCGTGATGTTTTTATTTTATTATTCCTTCTTTGACTGCTCTGTTTTTTTAGTATCATGTTTTGTTTAACATGTGTCAGTTTTCAATGGTTGCTTTCTATCTTGTTTTTTTTCTCGCTTTTTTCTCATTTCTTTTTATTTGAATTTTATATATGTGACACTTTTTTTTCTTACATATACATAGTATCTTTGCACTATATTTTAATAACGATATCTGGTTTCTCTTACGTTTGGTTCTTATAAAAGAATAATAGTAGCGATAGAGAAGTAGTTTGTTACCATCGGCATCATATGTCTGGTTATTTATTATATATTAAAAATGATCATGCATAAGAAAGAGAACAACTATAAAACGCAAATGATTTAAACTCGACTTGATCCTGTAGAATCTTCTAAGTTTCCTTGTGGAATCCGACAAGATTTGATGATTGGATTTCTTGAGCTGGAGTTCCAAAGGCTGTTGAGTGAATTCTTCATTGTTATCAACTATAAAAATATCAAACGCGTTCCGAAAAGATAAAAGTTTTTTAAGGAAAGACATGTACTTTCGAAAAGTGGAACGCGCTCTTCACCGTTTCATTTTGAAATAATTTCCACTTTTCGGAAACTCTTTTTTCATGTCAAGAAAAATTCTTCTCTCTCTCACAGATCGTGAGAAATGTTTTTTCCGACATGTTTCTTCATTAACTCTACTATCGACGAAGATCAATGCAGCTAAGATCTTTGTTGATGATGAAAATAGATTCATCATGTTTCAGATTTTGATTTCATCGGAATGGAGTTGATACTTTTTTCCTTTTTGTTCAAATACTAATCTTTCAATTTTTGTTACTCGAATAATGTGTTCGCTTGAAATCTTTTGTTTTTTCTTTGTTTGTCATAACACATTTCTTTCCATTGATTAGATGTATCTTAAGTCTTAAATAGTCACAAATAGGCGGATACATCATCTCAGCATGGGTGTGGGTGAATGTGTTCGTGTTGTTCAAGATTCGACTCATACCAACACTAACACTGATAACTACACTCAGACACCCCATACTCACACACAACGCAGTTCCATTTTTCGAGTTGTACGTGGATTTTGGCGTAGACGATCTCAGATTTATCTCAGATGCTAAATTTCTTTTCAGGTATATAGATTTTGTGAAATGACAACACTGCAACTCGATGATGCAAGAATTTATGCCTCATCAATCACAAGTGACTTATCTTCAAATGATTCAAATGTAACAAGTAGCGACGAGAAACAAATCGATGATGCCACTATACAAGAAGGAATTTTTACCGAATCATTAAATAAATTACAAAACTTGAAAGAACGAGCAGCGACCTCAACCAAATTAGAAAAATCGACTTTAGTTGACTTTCAACATATTCTTGTAGAGCTTATTAATGTGGTCGAAGAAAATAAAAGTAATTTTACAACCGAAATTTTCTCATTGATCAACGAACCTGTTAGACAGTTTACCCGATCATCATTAAAACATGATGATATGGAGGATTTCGTCAAAAGCAACACATCTGATGCAATTGAAGTGCTATACCTCTACCTGAATTTTTTCAAGTTAAATGAAATTCAGAATTATTTAACAAACCAAGAAATGGACCCAAACGCAGAACAATTCTATCAGAATCATATCGTGTTCGTCACGCAGATAATGCAATGGATCCTGCTCGCATCTACCTTTACAGTACAAGTTGCTGAAAAATTAAGCAATTACAATGAAATATTAACGTCGATGCTGAGTTACGTCAAAAAAGATCTGTCGATTTCCACATCGCCAAAGTTTGGTTCGGCAACGTGTGAAATATTAGCATTTCTTCAATTTTATTCTGGTAAAACTGTATTAGTACCAAATCTAATCAAAGCTGGATGTCCTGAATCATTATTGAATTTGTGCTCAATGAGTTACGAGTGAGTTGGAATGAAAACTACATATAATATAGTGATGTATTGAAAACCAAACACTTACGCAAGAAAGTTGTTAGACTTCATATCAGTATCTTTGTAATTTAGCGAAACGCTTATGTTTTAAAGGATTATAAAAGATTTTTGGCAAAATCTCTCTGCATACTAACAGAAAAAAGAGCATGTTCTTATCTTGTCAGATTTGGTATCGCCGAGTTTCAGTGGTCTTCTTAAGAGTGATGCACTGTGTGCATTATTTGCATGGCAGGTGGCCGTATGAATTTCTTGTTCAAAAACAGATTTCTTTTGATCAAAAACGATTGTTTATCACATAGAAACTCATTCCAAAGAAAAAAAACCTTTTTAAAAAGCTTATTTTCGGCAAAAAATACCTCTGGAGGACCTTTATCCACATATTTGTGAGAAAGTTTTTCTTGTAGAAAATAGTTTATGCTGTATTTTATTCGATATAATTTATAGCACTAAATCTAAATGTGTCAATTTTATTGAATAAAAATATTTCTGGACCAAAAAAAGTCGAATATAACTAAAAAAACCATGAAGTTTTAAAACCCTATATCTCAGTCCAGGAACGTTTGTGCTAATTTGTGCTAGATATGTTGCTAGGGGTTAGAGAGACGAATACTTTGACAAACGTTGAGCGACTTTGGACCATGGTTAAAGATGGTGTGATCATTTTCCTAAGATCAGCCGTTCGAAAAATCACAGGAGAGAAATTTTTGTTTGTTTTAAGCATTTATTAGGCTTAAAATTAAAATTTTGATATTTACGAATCGATAGAGGGCGTTGAGCCAGCTTCAAATATGTGCTGTTTCTGTCTCCTGATAGACTGGATCTTATGCAAAAAGTTAATACTTTTATGCCATCAATTAGAGTATGTAAGTGTGGATCTTCTCTTTTATCATACCAAGATACACTCACACCTCCACACTCTCTAAAGTCTTTATGTGACAATTGATGCAACATAGCACGCTGAGAAGACATGTATCAAAGGATGGCAGGACTCTGTGTAATACTACTCGTGTTGACACATGACTCACTATTATTAGGACTGGCATAGATAGATTTCTTTAATATGATTAAGGTAGAGTCGTTATGGCTCATTTTTTAATCCTTTAGGCGTTGAGCTGACCTTTTTTTGCAGTTTTTGACTTTCAATTTGTGGAGTCTAAATAGATTTAATTTTGGGATTTCTGCCTTCTGTTTTGCGTTTTGATGATGTTGGACTCTTTTCTTATGGATTCTCGGGCAATCCATGCATTTTAAATCCTGAAATCGAAAGATGCATCATAATTTTGTCTACGACTAAGTGAATCAGTCTCCGATGATTGTTGTTTCCGATTGATCTGAAAAAAACAAAGATCCATCTCTTCGATTTATAAGTGTAGCTTTTTGTTTTTAAAGATACGGCGAACAACACTGTTCAATCGAAAGGGTGAGTTTTAAATTGTGTCTATCATAAATTCCACTACTACAACTATTTCTTATTGTAACTAGACAAGTTCGAAGAAAGCAGGCGCTATACGTCCATTAATCAATATTATCCACAACATCAGTCGTCACAATGATGGGATAGACTGTTTAAACTCTTATAATGCTCTTAGTGTCATCAAACAACTTCAAAAAGATATCGTTGATGATGGCAATAACGAATTGACTTCCCGTACTCATACGATTTCAGTTCTTCTTTCAAAAACATCAATAACAATGGCGACCCCAACCATACAGATGAATGATGTCAATCCAGACGAAGATTCAAGTATACTCAACTGGCATGATAATGATTCTAGTGACATTGAAGAGGAAGCAGAGACTGTCAATATTTCTGACGAACGAATTTTCTCTGATATCTTAACAAAATTACAATATCTTCAAAGTAACATATCAAGAACCAATGAAGCGAAGTCTTCTGCAAACAAAGAAAATGAATCATGTAATGGTTCAGAAATCAAAACATCGAAAAGTAGTGATACTGAATTATCAGAAGATGAAGATGAAGAACGACTAGATAAAACAGTTTTGGTTGAATGGTATCATATTCTTGTTGAACTCGTCAGTGTGATTGAAGATTATAAAAATGATATTACAAAACAAAACTATTTTGCAGTTCGAAAGCAAACAAAATCACTTTCAGTAATTATTAATACTTCGAAAACATGGCTTCAAGACGACGATACTACTTACGCACATGAAATAGTTGATTTATATTTTAATTTCTTCAATTTACAACACATTAAAAACTATTTAACATCGAATACTGATATAAG